TTTTTTTTTTTTTTTTTTTTTTTTTCCGGCTATATACTCTTAATGCCATTATTTTCATTTGTTCTTTTATAGTTTCAGTCAACTCAAGATGACTAAATTAAATTCCCCTAAAAAATGATTCCCTTTTTTAATCTTAGTTATAACTTAAATTCTCCTTAACTTTTGAGCCCAAGTTTATAAATTTCATATACCTGACTTCTTCAAGTACTTCAGGTGACTGAAAAGGCAAGTTCACAAACTAATAGCAAAATATTTCTAAATGTTTGAACAACTGTCAGAAGGCTAAAGTTAAAATTAGTGGTGTACTAAATCAAGTTTTCCTAAAACACTTAATTCTGTTTGCAGATTTAGTCAAATTCTACTTACAAACTAAGTCAAATTCACTAATATCAATTTAAAACCACAAAAGACAGTCAGTTTTAAATTGAAATAACAAGTCATATTGGTTAAAGCACCTGCTACTCTGGTTAATAATGAGCACACTCACAATCTTGACCATTGCAAACCTCTTCCTAAATGTAATGCTCAATATTAATACTCTGGGATTGATTTATAATCTCTCTGTGTAGTTTAAAACCTTTCAATTGTTGTAAAGTTTCTCACCCACTAGTTTTGTCATTCAAACAGACTGAGATTGATTCATCAGTTAGAATTTCAATTGAGACAAGATTATTCTATCAGATTTAACACCAAATCATGAAGTCCTACCTGAGGCATGCTGAACCCTTTCTTATTACTGAATTCAGTCGGCTATGTCAATGGGAGCTCTTAAGATCATATTTTTCATTTGGGCTTTAGTTTTAGAATCCTTATCCCCTGGACATTTAAAATTCTTTGTTCTTACCCAAGTTTTCTTTTGTGAGCTAGATAAATGGCAGTCTGCAACCCCAAACAGATCACAGTCCTTTACCTTTGCCTGCACTGAGAGGCAAGGATCAGACCAGATCCTTCATGCATTTCACAGTTGCCTTATCTGGCTCTGGTCAAAACACAGATTCATTTTGTAGAGAATCCCTGTTCACATCGTTACACAATTTTATAAATCATTTTAAACAGCATTTTAGAATGTATAACAAGGCAAAACCAAAACACCCCAGTGCCATTGAGTTGATTCTAACTCATAAAGACCCTCTGTGGGGTTTCCAAGGTTGCAAATCTTTAGGGGAGCAGAAATCTCATCTTTCTCCCGCAAGCAACTAGTGGGTTTGAACTGCCAACCTTGCAGTTAGCTGTACAGTGCTTCTCCTACAGCGCCACCAGGGTTCCTTAAAATATGGCAAGCATTATGCACCTGAATGTGGCCCACAGCTGAACAGTGGAATGTCTAGATAAATAGTATCTTTAATGTGCAATTAATTTATTATTATGAAATTGGTGGATTTCTTCAGTAAAACTGGACTGGCTTGGAATTTTCCCTGTTCCTCAGGGAGAGCTTCTTTTTTCTTTGTAGTTTCATGTCCTAATCCTAAAAATGCTAATAGTCAGTACAAACACAAATGGTTCTCTAGTGCCAATATAGAAACTTAGGAACACATCACTTTCTCAGAGGCAAACAAAAGACCTCAGATTTCACATGTTCATTATTCTTTCCTGAAACAATAGTACGCATTAAGTGCCAAGATCTGCGTAAGTTGGAGCATTTCTAGAGAGCATCTCCCTTCTACAACATTAGCTGCATGCTTGCTTACATGCTAAGGACAGTTAGAGACTGAGTTACAAAGTGAACAAACACATGTGAGGCTTACACTCAGCGAGCTTTCAGACCAGTTGCAAGAGCTAGATTGCTTGGCAGCATTCAGCTACCTTGAGTAATTGGTGTTGGAGGTCCTGGTTTTGAATCATTGACCCGATTCATAGGATGGGTCAGGGCTCAAACCTTGAAGAGAGACAGAACTTGGAGTCCAAACGCAAGCTCCATCCATTTACTGGCTGTGTGACCTTGAGCCATTTACTTCTTAAAAGTCTGAGGCTCCTTATCAGAAAGGGGGAAAGTGTATCTATATCAAAGGTTGTCATAAAGATTAAATAAGAAAATACACAATATGTTCACAAAAAGTGAACAGCTCTCGTTAGTAGAGAGATTAATCCAGCTGCCTTTATATTGTAGTGAGAAAATAGAGGTCACAGAGGTCTGTAAAAGTAAGTTTTTGAATATAAAAAGTATTTTTTTTTACATTTTTCATTTCCTGCACATAGTATAGAGTATGTTTCCTCAATTATAACAAACGCCTATGTGTCTCATGGCACCTAGTGACTGTAGGTACCTTCATAAATATTTATTTGATTCATATAATTAATTTAGCAGCTATACTGTGGAATTTAATCCTAGTGAACATTCTAATACAATTACAAAAAGAGGAAATATATTGTAGATGAGTGTATCTCATTTATCAATGCAATTTGTAGTTAGCAGTTTTTTCAGTGTACTCATACTATGGAGTCTGGGTGTGTCACTGTGGGATAAGCACTGGACTGCTAACCACAAGGTCCATGGTTCAAACCCACCAGGCACTCCTTGGAAACCCTATACAAGGTCACTGTAAGTCAGAACCAAATTGATGGCACTTAACAGCAACAACAGTCATACTATACTAGACATTCTATATATGTTATTGCTTCTAATTCCACAAGATCCCTTCAAGGTGTGTGTGATTACTATTACCCATACTCTATAGATGAAGGTACTTGGCATGCTACAGTGGTAGAGTCTCAAACTTTGTGTACCTGTGGAATTGAAGGTTTAGAGAGGGGTGTTCTTGACGTGTCTTGTTTACTAGAGATATGAGAAGAAATGCCACTTCTATATTAAGAGGAACACCTATATTATGACGCAAGATGCAAAGTTCACAATAAGTTTTAAAGAATAAGAAGGATTTCAAGAAGTGATTGAAGAATCACTTATACTCTGGATCTGGTCCCCCTTCCTTCCCGCCCGCCCCCCAGGATTTTGAGTGCACTCTCTGCTTTGGGGTAGTGTCTGAGGAGCTTTAGGGTTGTGGTTCACGTAATGTGGACAAGCTTCTAACGTGTTTCAAAAATTTAAAAGAATGTGTAACTCCTATTAAGGAACTGTTTTTCAGCATGCTAGTTACCAGTTCTAAAAATACATAAATAATATTAATGAAGTTGTGAATGCAGTGAAAATCTAAAGCTGTGGGGAAGTGTTTCCCTCCACAGATTTTCCTTAAGGAAGATACTTTCAAAACATACTTACTATTCTATGTTATCTGATCAGTGAATCTTAGGAGCTGATCTGCTTTTGAATTTTGTTTTGTTTGGTCTTGCTTTTTGTTTCTGTGATTGATGTTTCAGAGGTAAAAATGTTGGCCCCCAAAGACTATTGCTTTAGTTCTGAAGTTTTAAGGCTTTTTCATAATGAAAGGCTTTGAAATGTTAATGAGAGGATATGTAAAATGCATCCCAAGACTTGCTGATGCAAAGTGTTCATTTTCATGTATATTTGCATGAGTGTAAACTCAGACTGTATTGGCCATCTTGCACCTGCATTCTTATTTTAGGGCCCACTTATATCTATTTCTATGAAATCTTTGTAGTGTGACTGCCCACTTTCTGCTTCACCAAAAAGAACGATGGCCTCTAATTGTCACCAGTACCACAGATGACCCTCCAAGGAAAGTCTCTGTGCTCTTTCATTGTCCTTAATTCTCTCTGGAGGTCTGATAACACAGGGGCCAAGACTCGTGACCCCTTTACTGGTTGAAACTGGACCTTTAGAACTTTGCTTTTTACATCTTTCCTTGCAAAAGAAAAGTGTTTCATTTCATCTTCCTACTCAAAAATCTTTCTGTCATGATCCAGACTTTCGTCCCATTCATATGTTTGATGTTAATGGTCAGTTGATCAACAGCATGGATCCAAGGCATTAAGTGGCTTCTGTAGAAAACGAACCTTTTTTTTTTTGTATTTTATTTCAGTTTGAATCTATTTTATTTTGAATAATGGCTTTATTCATTCACTGAATCCTTCATTCAGCAAACATATTGGGCACCTGCTGTATGCCAGGCATTGGGTGCTGTGGGTACAAAGAACGCCATGACAGAGTCTGGGCTGTGAACCCACAGTGATTGCCAACAGAGCCAGCAAGCGACATCAATGTGCTGACCAGGGCGGGTGGCATGCGGGGTGGGGTCACCATACTTCATATAAAGAAGGTAGCAGGTCTTTGCTCTAGCATGTTACTGCCATGTAGGAATGCCAGTTAACTGTAGCCAGAAATTCCAACATATGAGAAAAGCCAGAAGTCTAGTTTTCAAATGAAATCTCTTTTTTTTTAATGTGGGAAATTCATTTGTAGAAGTCATGTGTAACCCAAACAAAACACTTGTATGTACTCTCTGCCCAAACATGATGGTGAGCCACCTTTTTGTGGCCTCTGATCGAACTGGATGGCAGGGGAACACCACCCAGTAACACGTTATCTGTGTGCAGATGAACATTCCTACATTCCCGCCATGCAGCCAAGTTTTTCCACTCGATTCTGTGGACTCTGAGAGACTGCCATGCCCAATCCGTCTCTGCCCAGCTATGTGGTCTTGTGAAGGAGAAGCCTGGGGAGCCCTAGCTAAATAACCAAAGTCTGATTACAGGCTTTATGATTTATAGATTAATTATTTTGTTGATATCACAACACTGATATCAATGTAAACACAACGCTTATCAGTCTGTCTGGGGAATGGTTTATGGTTGCAAGAAATTTTAACCCTTGATTCATTCCATACTTCTTTTCATGTTTTTGAGGTAACTAATTTTTGACATTTTATAGTCTAATGACTCTTAAAATCAAGAATCATATTATTTGGCTCTGCATTCACCCTCTGAATCTGATCTGATAAACCAGTTGATCTTTGCTCAGCCAAATAATGGAATGTGAATTTGGTCTGTGTGTTGTGTGTGTTTCTCATGACTCAAAGTGCTTGTCCAAAGGAAATGAAGGCAATTCTTGTATGACTTCTATTGCTGTTGTTATGTGCCGTCGACTCAGTTCTGACTCATAGTGAGTCTGTATAGGGTTTCCAAAGAGCGGTTGGTGGGTTTGAATGGCCAACCTTGTAGTTAGCAGTCCGTTGCTGATCCTAGAGCGCCACACGAGGACTTGAATAACAAAGCTACAAATCTGTCTATTGGAAGCTCAAACTTCACCTCACCCTTTGTGTTGGTTATAGTCTTTGCTTCTGAGTCCCAAAATCTCTGGGGAAACACACGTACACATGAAGCTATGGGCTGCTCCATCTCTTTGCTCTTTAGTTTATCTGACAGATGTGAAAGTATGGCACCAGAGAACTCCCGGGCGCTTTCTCTACATGCGGCCATGATGGTTCATGCACGCCAATCCAGCTCAAGCTGGCTTCAACTCATTCTTGAAATTTTTCCACTGGGGACACTTATAACAAAGTCATAAAACACTCTGCTCTGGAACTTCGCTCTGCTGCAAAATGGAAACATATCTGCAGAGTCTCCAAAGCAGAAGCCTTTTTTTTTTTTTTTCCCACTCACAAAAATTTTTAAATTTATGTCAGATTCCAGTAACATAGCTAGTTGCACTCAATGAGTATGATGAGTTAAAGTTCAGAATGTCTACTGCTGTTAGGATTTATTGTACAGCACATAATGTGCAATCCTGGTTTGGCACTGTAGGATAAGCATTGGACTGCTAACCAACCAGTGGCTCCTTGGAAGCCCTATGAGTTGGAACTGACTCAATGGCACTTAACAACAATATAGAGAAATCATGTTTTTTTTTTATTGGTAGACTCCCTATATTTGCAATTTCAGATAGGATTCTAATATGTGTCTTTAGTTGTTGTTGTTATTTGTTTTAAATAACTCGCAATGTAGAAGTCTAGATTGGACAGGTGAGATCAGAGGCCAGTGAAGACCATGAAGAAGAAAGTGGGTGGCAATGAATCTGAGAACTTGTGTTTGGTTGCGGGGTTGGTGGGTAAGGACATATGGAAGTGGGTTGTCAGATAACAGGCATGAATAACAAACCCAACTCAGAAAATACGATCATGTTCTAACAAAGAATCAGTCTGTAGAGGGACAACTGTTTCCAACAAGTTAAGTCGTTTAATATGCTTCAATCTCTGGCTCTAATGTATGATTCCTTCTTACTTGACAGTGGAAATTCTGAGTGCTCGTCAGAAGAAAGCAGAAGAACTAAAGAGACTTACTGATCTAGCCAGTCAGATGGCAGAGATGCAGCTGGCCGAACTCAGGGCAGAAATTAAGGTCAGTTCTAAAATGTCACAGCCTGGACCCCGAGTCAGAGATCTGATTCCCATATGTCCCTTTTGTACCCATAGAGTGCTATGTTCAGAGAATCCAACATCCTGCACCCAGCTCTCTTTCATGAGGTTGAAATAGAGAACCCAGAAGAGTGAAGAACCACATAATCACCTTATTTATGTATAAAATGATTAGAAGGGCTATAGGAGTCCTGGTGTGGCGCTGTGGGTTAATGCGTCAGACTGCAAAGCCATTTGAACTGCAAGGTCAGTGGTTCAAGCTCACCAGCTGCTCCTCGGAAACCCTACATAGAGTCACTATGGGTCGGAACTGACTCAATGGCACTTAACAACAACATTATTATATTAGTACAAGAAAGGTACAATCTATTTGCTTAGTCATTAGAGACTGACCCAAATAAAATGTACTAACCCTGAACTATAGATGGGTGAGAAAATATTACTTGCAGTCTGTAATTGGTGCATGTATATAAACACCCGCCTATGAACACACACTAAATATGAAGTTAGCCTAACAGTGAGGATTATAAAGCATGTGCAACATGTTGAACTTCTTTCCTCTATTATAACATGGGTTTTGGCTTTTTATAAAGAATTGTTGTTAAGTTCCAACTCATAACGACCCTGTATGGGGCCAACTTTGTGGTTCACAGTCCAGTGTTGATCCTATATTGCCACACAAGGAGTCCTTTATTAAGAATAGTGCCCACAAATACATATTCATTAGATTTTGTGTTTGAAGGCAAGAGAAACTGGCTAACCTCAATAGCAAGTAGAATTTGAAAAAAATGGGTGTAGCTTATCAGAGCAGAATACTGCATGAAAAACCACATCTATACCGTGAGGGGCTTGGGTAACTTACGTAGGGAGTATGACTCCCAATCACAGTCTTCAAGACCCCAGCAGGTGACTGACCTCCAGGTGGATCTCTAGGAGAGAGACTCTTTGAGTGGTCCACTTGGCAAAAACAGGGCATGGCATCTTGATTGACAGACCCACCAAGATTGCATTCAGAGTATCAGGAATGGTTTTCAAAACTGCATTGGGGTTGTTGTTGTTAAGTGCCGTCGAGTCGATTCCGAGCCATAGTGACCCTGTATAGGGTTTCCGAGGAGCAGCTGGTGAGCTTGAACCGCCAACCTTGCAGTTCACACGGCTTGGCAGTCTGAGACATTAGCCCACAGCGCCACACCAGGACTCCATAAGGTTTCTGAGGAGTGGCTGGTGAGCTTGAACCACTGACCTTGAGGTTCAAATCAACCTTGCAGTCCAGCACATTAACCCACAGCACCATACCAGGACTCGTATTAGGTGCAGGTACCCAAAGGGGCTATGGGCACCAGTGGAGCAACACAAAATCTGTACAAAAAAATAGGAAGTTCTGGTTTTTAAATGTCCCCTCATCATCCTCCTTCTCCCCAGCATACTACACACACACACATTCCAGCTTCTTACCACTTCTAGTAGCATAATGGTTACGAATCGGGCTGCTAATCTCACAGTCAGCAGTTCGAAACTACGAGCTGTTCCACAGGAGAAAGATGAGGCGTTCTGCTCCCGTAAAGATTTATAGCCTCGGAAACCCTATGCAGGGTCATGATGAGTTGGAGCCGACTCCACAGCACATCACAACAACAAAAACCATTTCTAGGGAAGTAGACTAGTTTCAAGACGCAGTTGCTACTAGTGTGACAAGTAGGATAGTGTACTATCCTCTTGTCATAAGATATTCTCTATCCTCTGGACATAAGACTGGTTGATTATGTGAGAAGTTGCAAGTGACATTAGCCCCATGGAGAAGAGCCTCCCCTGGGGTACTGAGCCTCTCTAGACGTCTGCCCCTCCCCTCTTCCCTTCTCTCTTCTGGCCTTTGCTGCCCCCTACTCAGACTGTTACAATCACCTCCTAATTAGTCATTCTACCCTAACCATCTCCTCCCAGGCTTCTCCATCACCCTAAAAACCAGAGTTGTAGACCTAAAGCAGACCTGGTCTCCCCCAGTATAGTTTATCCTGCTTCTCTGAGTAAAACCCACAACTGGCCTCTAGTCTTCCCTACAAAACTCCAAGCTTGTTAACACATCAAGTGAAGAATATGAACCTGCCTGCGTCCTGGTCTGCTGGAAGCTACTCAGCTTTCAAGTTTCGTTTCCACCTATCACCATCCCACTTACCATTAAATAGTTAACATCACAGGCTTTGGAGTAAACCAGTCCGGCTCCAAAATTTTCTACTTCTGTGACTTTGGATAAATCACTTACTCTCTTAGATTCTTAGAAGCTCAGTTCCCCCATCTATTACGCAGAGGTAATAATAGTACTGACTTTGTTATAACACAATCAGATGAAAGTGAGATTATCTGTTAAGAATTTGGCCAGTGTCTAGTATCCAGTGTTTTGTTTTGTTTTTCATGTTCCAGCTCTAACATAACTCCTTCACCAATCCCTTCAGTCGGAAGTAATTTCTTTCTCTCTGATAATCTTAAAACACCTGTCACATTCCACCCTACATTGTGGTTAGTATATCTGTTTCTCTTGCCATGTGATAAATTCACGGAGGGACTGCATCATAGTTATCTGTGTAATTTCTCACTCTATCACCTACACACAGATCTTTATTTTAAATAAATTGAAAAACAAAATCTTTCCCCCTTCCTTCAATAGCACCAGAAACGCCTCCATTCAAGATCATGTTTTATAGATCTTAAAAGATTTTAGAGCTTCCTGGTTGCTTATTAAAATACAAAAGGGTGTGTAGGAAGGATGACATGTTAGACAGACCAAACTGTGATACAGGCAAAATGTGTATGGGCAAAGTAGGAAGACCCTACAAGAAGGCACCCACCAGGTCTCAGCGTACTAAACATGGCAAGCCCACGTGTCAGAGAAGCGCTGGCCCTAGACATTCTTCAGTGGCTGACTTTCTGGAAGTAGCTCCCCAAGCCTTTTTTCCAAGGTGTGTCTAGATGGACTCCAACCTCTGACCTTTTGGTAAAGAGTTGAGTGCATTAACTGTTTACACCACCCAGGGAGTCCAAAAGGAGGGCAGGGATCAAGAGTTAAGATGAGCCCCAACACACGGTTTGCCTGTCTCTCCGTTTTTTCTGAGCCCAGGCAGAACCCACAGAAGCAGAAAGTGATCCTGCCCCAGGCAGGCCAGACTGCCGCGTGGAGCCACACAGTGACCACCCAGCTGAATGACTTCTCACCTGGTTCACACCTTCATGGGTGGATGACCCCTGCCCAGTGCACCTCAGCTCTGTAACTGTGTGACTCCTGTCTTCTCTATCCTCTAGCACTTTGTCAGCGAACGTAAATATGATGAAGAGCTCGGGAAAGCTGCCCGATTCTCCTGTGACATTGAACAGCTAAAGGCCCAAATCATGCTCTGCGGAGAGAGTGAGTTTTGCATACTTGCTAAGGAATTCTGTGTGAGTGAGCCCCGTGCTATTCAGAGTTGCTATTGGAAATGTCACGTGTGCAGTCCCTAGGGGACTGAAGTGAGGTCTGAAGAGACTTAACGATTGAAGGTCAGGACACAAGTCACTTGAAATGTCAAGGTTTGAACTTAGAGTCTTCAAATGCCACTGCCCATCAGTAAATCTCCAGGATTTATTAAGCAGAACAGAACCGGCCAACTAGTTTCTACCTTTTGCAAACTTTTTGTAAGCGCCGCCAGATGAACGGCCCCTCTGATTTAAACCAGCTCCGGCTCTGCAGAGACCTGTTACCTCAGAGGGAGACTTCCTAATAAGTCTGCGAACACTCAGTTAGTGTGAAAGACCCAGCTGTTGTGTGTGCTGCTCGGCAGGGCCCTGAGCTGGCGTCCGCCCTGTGCTGACTGAAGTCTGCAGATAATGGAAGACTTTGCTTCAGCCATTAGTTTTCGTCTTGGTCCTTATTAAGCCTTAATTAGAGTAGCTAATATGCAACAAAACTGGCTACAACTTCTCTCCTGGCCTCCAGCCCACCCACCAGAGGAGGTGGGAATGAGACCAACATAGCTTTAAGGACAGGTGAGGGACCTGGAAAGGCCACCACCTCAGTCTCAGGGTTACCAGCTGAACGTTGGCATTTGACTGCACTTTATTTTTAATGTGGCAAATGCTTTTGACCTGCCCAACCTCCGTCCCCTCCTGAGCATAAAAACATACACTCGGTCCAACAATTACAGAACTGTATTATGTATTATTACATTTGCGTAGTCTTCACATTTTCATGAACATGTTAAACATACTCCTTTTACAGAAATTACTATGTAAATTATATGTGACTTATATAGAACTAGACTACATGTTATCATTTACTATGCTAAACAACATACATCTAGAGTAGCATACTTTGTTCTTAGCATTTTATAAGACGTGGTAGACATTTTCCATATCAATATATTGAACCGATAAGGTATTTAAATAACATTTGCACAGCCTGTCTCCTGAAGGTACGCAGTTCATTGCTGTCAGTTTTTAGCCGTTCAAAATAGCACTGCCATGAGCTCTCCTGTTCATCCAGCCTAGCAGTTGTCTGGTTTGATGCCTGCCCTGCTTTTCAATTCTTTTATTTTTGCCGCTTCCCTTAGGAAGGAGTCTACCAATTTGCCATTCTCCGTTCCCGGCTTTTACCTCATCCCTAAAAACCAGACAGTCTGGCTCACAGTTGGAAACTTCACTGCCCATCCTCATTTCCATTTCAGCCTGAGGATGCTGAGTGGTTCTGTGTCACCCGCCCTTCTGGGGAACTGCAGTTTCCCTGCTTTCCTCCCAAGCAGTTCAAGTGCCACCTAGTGGGAGGAACTACCCCCTTCCAAGTGGACCTCATGAAAGGCAGCCTTGCGTGGCTGAGATACACGCTAAAGGCCCTTTTCTGCTCAGCTCTGGAAGAGCACATTAAGAGCCAGAAATACTCGTCACTGCACTACAGGAAGCAGTGACCCCATAAAACTGAGTCTAGTGAGCACGAGAGCCCCTGACTTGCTGTCGTAACTTGCCTCTAAAGAGAAGGAACCGGAGTTTGTCCTTGACTTTCAAAGATGCTGTGAGCCATGCTAGTCACTCCTAATCCTCTGGAGAAAGGCTGGGATTAGGTCTGATCCAGCCAAAGGTAGCAGAGAAAATGGCTTTTAAAAATTGATGACAATATTAAGATTCAGGGAAGGGTCTTGCTGCCCAGCCCGGCAGTGCAATTCGGGGGAAGGCAGAGAGGGAAGCTGTGACTTTATCCTTGAGTGGGTTCCTTCCGGCCCCCATTAGGCATAAGCACGAAGCAGTCCTTCACCTTCAAAGCCAGCAGGACTGGGAAGAATGATCATTGAGCCCTACCAGGGATCTATTTCATCTTCCACTTGCATTTCCACTAGCTTTTGTATGGATGCAGATTTGCAGTGAGGGTGGTGTCGAAATGGGGTTAATAAAAGGTCTAATGAAAGAAGTCTCAGGGGCTGGCGGGCCTCATCGTCCTGTTTTGGAGATATTCTTGGCCAGGGAGACAAAATGTCCTCTGTAACATCCAGCGCTACCCCATTCCATGCTCTGGTGACACCGTGGCTCTGACAGGCCAGTGCGTCAGCTTGTCTTTCTGGGTCTTTGCTGTCCCGACTGTAAGAGGGGTCTGACAGGGAGGGCTCAAATAGTTTGGGCCCTGGGGAACCCAAGAGCAAAGTGATTTGTGGAAGGTCCAAAGAGGGGCCCTCCATTGAATTGGTTCTTGACCTAAAGAATGGTATGAAACTGGTTCAGATGTGTCTTTCCAGCGCATATCTCTCAACGTGGATGATTGTGCTGTAGTCTCAGCTCTGTGGTTCTCACAGAAGAAATTGCGTGACCTCCGAGTCCCAAGGTACCCTCTCAAATGACATCTTTCAAAAAGTCCTTTCTTACTGCTGTGTTGGAGTTCCTGCCAAGTTCTTCATCTGCTGTGTCTTTCTAATGGCTGAGTCGTGTCTCAGTGCAGCCATTAATGCCAGGACTTTCTTGTTGCAGTTACACATCCAAAGAACAGTTACTCCTCAAGAAGTCCGGGCAGCGCCCTACTGCCTCTGCTGAACACTCACGCAGCAAACTCTGGGAAGCAGAGTCATTTTGCCCGAAAAGCATCCAATCACAACAAGTCCTCAGAGGGTAAAACAGCAAACCCAAAACTGCTGAGTAATCCTCCCAGCTCCACAGACACCTCTCACCAGGCCATGCCCACTAACAAGCAGGTAAGCCATTTGGGAGGCCGCCTAGTGCTACCTTCAGGGGGCTTGCAAACATCGGTCCATGATGTCAGGGAGGGGGGAGGAAAACATTCACTTCAGGAGGAAGAACATGGCAACAGCTCCTGGGGGTCACAGCCTGGCCCACCCTCCACAGCTCTGGCTGGCCTCCCTGTCCCCATCTAACCCACTTAACAAGTTCCCATTGGAGGTGGTGACCTACACACACTCCAACAGCATTAGCACGTGACCACTCTTCTTTTGACTGCCACCATCCCAGGTCCCAGCACCCTGCCCACACTTGGAGGAGGTTCATGCAGATGAGGGATCCAGATTCAGAACCTGGACACTGAGATAGTATGAGAGAGAATAGGGCACTCTTTTTTTAAAAAAGAATTTTCCTCATTTATATTTAGTTTGTCAATTATAAGTCAAAATTAGTTCAGTCATTTTTTTTCTTCTCCTGGGCTTTCAGAAAAGGAAATACATTTCAGAATGACATTATTAATTTTTATCTGCTATGACAACTAAAGATACAAGTTTCCAAAGCAGTCTTCCCTCTCTATCTGCGTCTCCACTGTATCCTCAACAGGGGGTTTCCCCTTATCTTTAAAGAAGAAACCAGAGATGTGTCTTGATGGTATTAGAAGTTGAGCATGCTAGGAAAATACCTTTCAGATCGCTCAGAAAGAGATTTTTCTTTTAGTATTCCCAGATGCTGGTTTTCTGAGCTCTGTTGGGTTTTGAGGTCTTGGTCTTGTAGACTTGCCACTAATGACACTGGCAAGCATTTCCCTGACCCGGAATGCCTTCCTGAGCTGTACGCCAGCACTGTGACCAGGAGTGTGTCCTATGTCACAGGTTAAAGGTCACGGTCAAGCCTGTTTTACTTGTCATTTAAATACATTTCTCATTCTTTGTTCTTTGCTCCTTATTAAACATTGTACCAACATTTGGACTCCTGGTGCTGCACTGGACTGCAAACCACAAGGTCAGCAGTTCAAACCCACAAGCTGCTCCTCGGAAACCCTGGGGTCACTATGAGTCGGAACCCACTCAAGGGCACGTAACAACAACAATACCACCACCATTTAGTCTAATGTCCCATGACACTATTTCTTTATTATTAAAGACAAAGGAGGTCAGATTAAATACAATCTACTTAGACACTGGTCAGCTCACTGCTTTATCATTTCAGCCAAGTCTTTTAGGTAATGTGTCATTTCAGTTGAATTATGCTTCTGCATCTAAACCAGGGAGTCCTGGTGTGGCGCTGTGGGTTAATGCACCAGACTGCAAAGTCGTTTGAACCAGAAGGCCAGCGGTTCAAGCTCACCAGTCGCTCCTCAGAAACCCTACACAGGGTTGCTATGGGTCGGAACCGACTCGATGGCACTTAACAACAACATCTAAACCAGCATCCTTATGCATCTGAACTAAACTTTTGTCTTGGGCCCTGTGCTTTAGTGGAAGCAAAGAGAGACCACCGCCCAGGTCATGCTGCAAGTCCCCGAGAGCCTAGAATTCTCTCTTCAGTTGGCTTAGAACTGCTCTCAGGCACTTTACGTACTGTTCCCTTGGATAGATCATCTTGAAGGCAGAGCCTGATACCAGTTTGCACACCCCTAACTCCAAAGTGGTTGTCTCAGGGGGCCGGGGTGCAGCATAGATGTGAAGGCTGGAATGAGTATCCACATGCATGAGGTCCAGGCCCTCTCACAATGTAGAACAGAGCCAAAGGTAGGAAGAGAAAAAAGGTGTGCCAGAGAGCCAAGAACCCCTCAACATCGTGGCACAGAACCCAAGGAAGACTTCTGTAATTAAACCTGGTCTTCCACGTCCTCAGGACAGTATTCCAGGGTAAGTCCACTTCATACATACACAGGTGTATGCCAAACAAAATGTGCTAAAGCATGTGTGTGTGATCAGTGGATGGCTGCAAGCAACTTCTTCAGTAATTAATACACCATCCTAGTATTGTTAAGTTGCCTTCAAAAAAAATCTATCCAATTAAAACAGTGGCTTCTGATGGGATCTACTGGGCCAGTTAAATTCAAGGCATAAAATGACGCAAATAAATAACAACTACCCTCAAGGGTGATTGTTATTGATAAATGAAATCGTTTGCAGAAGTGCCTCCCTCACAACCTGGGTTACCGGACACTCAATGAGCCCTAATACTGACAGCTCAGAAACCTCTCCCTTGTACAGGGATAGACTACATCAATCCATTGCTTCCTGACCACTGGTCCACTTACGTTCTTGGTGGCTGATCTGTTGAAAGAATGACTTCTCACTATGATGCTTCAGAACGGCAAGAGATTTTCAAGGGCCACTTACTGCTACAGAGACACGCATGCTGCCTCCTGGCCCCACCAACATCTACACCTCATCATCCCTGGTTTTTCCCAAGACATCCTTTCTGAGCTATGATAAAAACAGTGTTAGAGAAGAAAACTTCCAAGGGAAATTTTCCATTTGTCGTCATATGTATAATTAGAATTCACATAGCATTGTCCCAGAATGGTCCAGAAGTCTTCATGCTTGAGCATCATTATTGCCCACTCCTGCATTACACTTCATTCTGTTACATTTTCGGTCCTATTTTAAAGGTACTTTTGGGGTTTTCTTTCGCCTAGCTCTTGAATTGCAGTTTTATGCCTCTGTTATGGAGGCCTTATAGTGCTGTGATCTGGTAGCGTAGTGGTTATGAATCTGGCTGCGAACCCTAAGGTCAGCAGTTCGAAACTACCAGCCGCTCCGCGGGAGAAAGATGAGGCTTTCTACTCCCGTAAAGATTTACACCCTTGGAAACCCTGTTCAGGGTCGCTATGGGTCGGAACCGACTCGACGGCACTTCACAACAACAACATAGTGCTGTGATCAAGCCCTCAGATGTTAACCAAGAGGAAGATTGCTCACACCCACTCGGCAGCGCTGGCAATATGGTTCTATGTTATTGTTAAGTACTATCGAATCAGTTCTATACAGGGTTTCCAAGAAGCAGCTGGTGGGTTTGAACTGCTGACCTTATGGTTCACAATCCTGTGTTAATCCTACAGTGCTGCACCAGGAAAATTACTAAAAATACCATTGTTTTCGAGTCCATTCCAACTCATAGCAACACTAAAGCTGAGTGAAGTTGCCTTAGGGTTTCCAGGGCAGACTGCTACATTTTTCTCCTAAAGAAGTGGCTGGTGGGTTCAAACCAGCAACGTTAGCAGCTGAACACTTTAGCCACTGCAGCACCAGGGGTCCTCTGTAAATAACCTAGAAAATCCTATGCGACAATTCTCTGTCCTGTGGCCACTATGAATTGGAACTGACGCCATGATACATAGCCACAGCTTGCCTCTTCAAAACCATCCACTTCCTTAAAGTTCTATTTATAAGACAACGCACAATCCTAGGCTGTCCATAAGATTGAGGATTTTTTCAGCTTGCCCCTGTTTTCATGTTGCCATAATGTTCACAGTATAAAAAAGCTAACCTGAGGCTTAGAGACCTGGTTTCCCTAATGTCTACCGATGTCACCTTCGTTTTCTGGGTGTTTCAACGCCATCTAATACGTGTTTTTGGTTTTCTTTTTTGGCAGAATGGGCCTTCTAACCAAAGACGAAGATTTAATCCACAGTATCATAACAACAGGCCAAATGGGCCGGCCAAGTCGCAGGGTGGTGCCGGGGAAGCTGATCCCATGATGAAAGGCAACAACCGCCATGAACACAGAAGACAATCACACAATGGCTTCCGTCCCAAAAATAAAGGTGGCACCAAAAACCAGGAGGCCCCCTTGGGGACAAAGACCCCCGAGGCCACTGCCCACTCAGAAAAGCCACGGCGAAGGCAGCACCCCGCAGATAACTCGGAGGCCAGGCCTTTCCGGGGTGCTGTTGCCAGGGTTCCGCAATGCAATCTGTGCCCCACGAGAATTGAAGTTCCCACGGATGCTGCGGTTCTCTCAGTCCCAGCCGTGACATTGGTGGCCTGAACCAGGAGAGATAAATGGTCGTTTTCACTCCATTTTGGTTCCCTGCCCGAGGTGCTGACCCAATTCGCTGCCAAAAAGAGAGTCACTGGGAATCTACGAACCCCGTTTGGTTGTGTCACCCTCTCTGAATCATTTTTACTAACCCTAATAATCACGGCTAGCTTGCTTCATAACTTTCATGGCTTTGCTTGATCTGTTGACGCTTTTTCCCATCGAGACATTGCAGCATTTTAGCAAGGCAGTATTTACTCATTTGTTAGGAAAATCAAGATGTGGCTGAAGACCAGAGACTCAGTAGCAGCCTATGTTGTAGCGTGATGTCAGTCCATTGATTGTCTTTAAAGAGTTACTGTTGCAAAAAAAAAAAAAACCTTAATGATTAGACAAACATGATCTGCTAAAGACACATGCGCTTTTGTAGAATTTAACATCTGGTGTTTTTCTGAAAAATATATATATACATATATTGCTTTATTTGAAACAAATTAAAATATGCTGCATTTGACACCTGGCTGGTTTCTTTTTTTGATGACCACCTTACTATTGAATGTACTGCATAATACTGTCAAGAAAACTAGAGGCTAAGGCTAAAGCACAGATCTCTGTGCAACGCTATTTGCCTTCAAACAAAGGATGTCTCACCACGGCCCTGCTAAGCACATTACACACAGATACAGAAGCCTGCGCTCCACGCAGCTTACACATCAGCTGTTGGCTTGGAAACCTTGATCACAAGCAATGGAAGTCTCCATTGAGCATGGTTTAAACAATCAGGAGCACTGACTGGTTCCGTGACTGAAGTCCAAAGCCTTGGGTCCAGTCTGTTCAGGGCTCCGGCTCCTCTCTCTTGTCTCGGCTCTCCTTTACACCTACGGTAGGCATTGTATTCAGAATGGCTTTCATCTCCAGGGCAAAATGAGTGCCTCACTCCCACAGTCTAGAAGAAGAACATGTCTCCCCAGGTAGCTTCCACGTGGGGGAGGTGCCTTTCTCAGAAGATCCAGCAAAAAATCTTCTTGCAGATCATTGGCCCAATTTTCTCCAAGGCTTCAAACCACTTCAGGCTAGTTTGACTCTTGCTGAGAATTTACCTTTCCACTCCAGATATACTGAATAGAAAATCTACATTTGAACAGATCACAGATCGGGTAGAAATGCCTGGTAATTTACTTCTAGCAAACCCTATCACTCACAAGGGTCCAATCTGAAAGGAAGCATGGGGACAGCAGAGAACCAGACTAGCCTTTCATTTTGTTGTGTAAGAGGTCACCATGAGCCCCACAGCTAACCACAAACAGAGTCCACTCTGGATACGAGGTGTGGCCTGCTGGGGAGGTGGGCCACTGTTACCTCGGGAAAGGAGAGTGGATTCTGGCCTAGAGATCAGACCTCTGATGACAGGCCAGTTCCTCTTGGGCATTGCTTCCATTCACCTACCTACCCGGTGTTCTTCAGACTTGGTAGTTTCTTTCAAGTGCAAATACTTGCTTTCAGCTCAACATGAACAGCCTTTCTGCCATCCCTGGCTCTAGGGCCTCTTCCTCAGAGCAGCTCTGAGCAGCTGAGCCAAATACAGGAAGATGCTTCCTCTCTCAGGAAAGAGCCTTCTGAGGTCTCTGGGTGTACCCGGAGATTTAGGAAGAATTCAAAATGCTGAGTCCTGCTTCTGGAAGGAAGGAAGAGCTGTTCGTTCAAATAAGAAAGATAAATACCCAGGGCTACTGTCCCTGCTTACTCAGTTGAGGTGCTGAGCTTAGCTATTACAGCACAGAAGGGTTTGGCACAATTTTTGTGTAGCAAGACTTAACTCACTCCTGAAAAGCATCCGTTTCAATGCGGTAACTTTAAAGACAGGCCCAGGGATTCTGGAACCAGGAAATGTAGTAGACTTTCCAGCTCAGGAGCGCAGCTGTCTTTGTCAAGGTGGGCCCAGCCACTGTTAACCCTGACTCACTCATGTGACTATAGGGGTCAAGAAAGCACAAACACATTCCTCAGTGCACAGCAAACACTCCCAAGTCAATGAAAAGAAAGGAATGCTAAACATGGTTTAGACGTGGAGACTTTTTCCCTAGATTTTACCTTTCTCCTAGACCCTGGGCATGTGACTATTTGACAGTGTACAATTTTTAAACAGTAATTTTCATATACTGGAACAATGGTGGTGGAATTCTCACCTTCTGGTCAGGGGGAGACCCAGGTCTCTTTTCCAGCCAGTACACCTCAAGCACAACCACTAGTTGTCTGTCAGCAGAGGATTGTGTGTTGCTATGATACTGAATAGGTTTCCACAGGGTTTCGGACAAAAACAGACCAGCAGGAAAGGCTTGGTGATCTGTCTCTGAAACCCAGCCAGTGAAAGCCCTGTGAACCACCATGATCTGATCTTCATCATGCATAGGGTTGCCATGAGTCAGCAGCCAACTCAACATCAGCTAACAATGATTTCAATATTTTAGTGGCAGTTTCAAGGCATTTAAAGTCTGCATTACATGTCTTCTACCTGTCCATTGGCAGTCCTGGAGATTCTGGGAGAGATGCAACCTTTTTTTTTTTTTAAACACACACAAAAAACCTTTAAATCCTTTTCAAAATATCTCAAAAACATGAGCAGCCTTATCTCTCTACTTAACCCACATTAGCCTGCTTAGAATGGATTCTTCTCTCTTAAACATTTCTCTAATAGAGGTGAAATCATTTAACACTCCCGAAGACTGAACAAATTTTACCACATAGATCTTTCATTCAGGACTCCATCTGTGAAATTCAAATATCCCTGGTGGGTTGGTTATTTACATTTCATTTGAGAATTTCTACATAATCCATCTCTATTGTGTTGAGCCTATTATAGGAGCATTTACCCCAGTACAAACCAGTACAAACCTCACTGTCAGTGAAGGCCATCTGATAGTTAGAGGGAGGAAACCAAAAGTACAATATATCCAATTTAGAGCTCGGTTCACACACAGTTCGACTCTGCTGGCATCAGAAACAGAGGCTCTAATTAAACAACATCAAGTGAGGTTAATGGGAAAAGTTACCAGGCCCAAAGCTACCAGCAATTTTATTTGCCAAAATAGCAGACTTGGGGACTCTGACTCTCTGAAAGCCTAGGTTTGAAATTTAATCTCAATTTGACCATTAGAAGTAGAGCTGGATCACCTGGATCCTTCTTTGCCTAGACATTAGGTCTGGTACTCAGGGGCAGCGAACTAGATAGATGCGAACTAGATAGATGCTGGAATTCAACACATCTTTTGAGAAAGAGATTCCTCCTATCCAACTTCCTTTTATATGCAGTACCCAAAGCTGAGGTGCCCTGGTGGCATGACAATTAAGTACTCAGATGCTAGTGGAATGGTCTGTGGTTCGAACCCACCAGCTGCGCCTTGGAAAAAAGATGTGGCCGTCTGCTTCTGTAAAGATGACAGCCTGAGCAGCCTTATGGGGTCGTTCTACTTCTAAGGTCACTATGAACCTGAAGCTGCAAGCTAATGCGCTAGACTGCAAAGTCAGTTTGAACCCCAAGGTCGGAGGTTCAAGCTCACCAGCTGCACCCTCGGAAACCCTATACAGGGTCGCTATGGGTCAGAACCAACTCAACAGCACCTAACAACAACAACATGATTCTGGTGTAGCACTGCAGGATCAGCACTGAACTACAAACCACAAGGTCGAAAATTCAAACCCACCAGCTGCTCCTTGGAAGCTTTATACAGGGTCTCTATAAGCAGGAACCGACTCAAAGGCACTTAACAACAATGAAGAATCTACTCCACAGCAATGCATTTGGGGTTTGATTATCCAAAGCTGCCTATTCTAGTGCCCTCTTGTGGCTAGAGATGGTAAAGTTTCCATTTTCTACAGACACCTAGTTACAATGTTCATGAAATGTATATTGGCACCCTTTCTTACCACACTTGCTTCAGAAGCTGTCTTGGTGGTAGCGGTGGTGATGTGCCATGGAGTCGGTTCTGACTCACAGCGACCCTGCATAGGGTTTTCCGAGGCTGTAAATCTTTACAGGAACGGAAAGCCTCATCTTTCTCCCGCAGAACAGCTGGTAGTTTCAAACTTCTGACTTTGAGGTTAGCAGCCTGACTCATAACCACTGTGCTAACAAAGCTCCTTAGAAGCTGTCTTAGATATTTGTTAAATACATCAAGTTGGTTCCAACTCGTAACAACACTATGCACAACAGAACGTAGGGCCCTAAGCCATCCTCACAATTCTTATGTTTCCGTCCATTTTGGGTGCCACTTTGTTAATTCAGCTCATTGGGAGTCTTCCTCTTTTTTTCTAACCCTCCACTTTTCCAAGAATAATGTCCTTCTTCATGGACTGGTCCTCCTGACAACATCTCCAAAGTACCAGAGACAAAGTCTCACCATCCTAGCTTCTTCTAAGGAGCATTCTGGCTGTACTTCTTCCAACAAACATTTGTTTGTTCTTGTAGCAGCCCATAGTACCTTCAATATTCTTCATTAACACCATGATTCAAATGCATTAATTTTTCTATGGTCGTACTTATTCATTGTCCAATATCCACAGGGCATATGAAGCTATTAATAATACCATAGCTTGGGCCAGTTGCACCTTAGTCCTCAAACTGACATTTTGCTCTTGAACACTTTAAGAGGTCTTTTGCAGCAAATCTGCCTAATGGAATATGTCATTTGGTTTCGTGACTGCTGCTTCGTGAGCATGGATTGTAGACCCAAGCAAACTGAAGTCTTTGACAACTTCAAACTTTTCTCCATTTATCATGATGTTTTTTATTAGTCCAGTTGTGAGGATTTTTGTTTTCTTTATATTGAGGTGCAGTCCATCAATGTAAAGAAAATGAAAATTCTCCCATCTAGTGCTGCTGTAAAAGAAATAACACAAGTGTATGGCTTTAACAAATAAAAATGTCTCCTCTCATAGTTTGAGCAGTTAGAAGTCCAAATTCAGAGCTCTGGCTCTGAGAACAGTCCTTGCCTCCTTTCAGCATCTGCAGGCCCAGGATTTCTTGGAGTTCTCCATGTGCCTGGGCCTCAGTCTTCCGTGGACCTAGGAGCTTCCCAGGGGAGGGACCCCAGGTCCAAAGGGCTGACTCGGCTCCCAGCTCTTCTTTCTTGGTGGTAGTAAACCCAACTTTCTCTGCTCACTTCTCTCTCCTTTTATCTCCTGTGAGATAAAAGGGGTGGCAAGTTGCACCCCTGGGAATGAGATCAAGGTCCTGATGTGATTCAAAGTGGTATATCCCACTCTTTGTTCTCATATTGGTTTATCACACCAGATCACATCATAGGCAATCATCGCATAATTGCCACACCACTCAGATTTGTGGCCCAGCCAAGCTGATACATATTTTGAAGGGACACAATTCAGTGCATGACAGAGGCCAGACCGACAATTCAAGCACAGATGAGCTAACACTCCAGGCTGCCTAACCTTATAAAGCAAAACAAGAAAGGGTCAGCCAGTTGCTCCCAAATTTTATAAGTAAACTATAAAATAACA